ACACACTTGCACAAACACATAACACCACAAATGCGGATATACATGTAACATAACACAGAGAGATGGAATCACAGTTGTAAAACTATTTGAAATTTATTTACAAAGTCTTGGTGCGTCTGTTGAACAATGCAATGTTCACATATACATACATGATGCTGCAGCTTCACACGTGATCACTCCTGCGAATGATCTGTTACTGGTAGGAAACCTCCTGGTTACACCAGCCCACAGGGGATTATTGTGTCCGTCCGTGGTGCATCCAATAATGGGAGGGGTGGGGCTGGTGGAGAGGGGAGGGTGGGGAGAGGCTGGGTGGGGAGGGTGGGGAGGGGCTGGGTGGGGCTGGGTGGGGTGGGGCTGGGAGGGGAGGGGCTGGTCACCCCGTGGTGCCCTTATAAAACTCAACGTTTAACCTACTCACGCCGGCTTGTGCCCGCCCTCACAGTCGGGCATATTTGCGGAATACACCACGCCGCCGTTGACCTTGGCCATTGACCGAGCAATCCAACGTTCCTACCAGCTCCCTCCGCAGGAATGTGTTTTATTTTGGGTGTTAACCTAAGACAAAAGAGTACGAATGATGCAAGTACTTCAGGCACCGCTGATGTTTTTGTTGGCACAATGGTGGAGTTTTTTGTGTGTGCGGGGAGTGGTGGCGCAGCGGTTAGCGCTACGCTACGCTACGAACCCGGCGACCCGAGTTCGATTCCCGCTCACGGCCACCAACACCACCAGTGACGAGCATCTGCACCGGTCCTGAGCCTCCACTCCTCGGTCGATGCAGCCTCAAACGAGCACCTGGCGCGGCGTGTAAACATCGCCACCGGGGGAGACAAAGGCGGCCGGGCGTGGTGCTGGCACACCAAGGGGCCGTCCATAAATGACGTCCATAAATGACGTCACGCACCTGGGGGGGGGGGGTCAGACATTTGTGACGATGTGTGAGGAAGGGGGGGGGGAGAAATGTGACGTCACATCAAAATGCGCAACTTTAAATAAATATGGAATTGTTATAACAACACTAATTGTTATAACAACACTCCTACGACATCAGAGTGCAGCGCCACATTAAATACGCACTACAATGACAATAGTTTCAAGCGATTTGAAGCATTTTTTTTTCAAAATGCAAATATGGTTTTTTGGGGGGGGGGCAGAGCTTTGTGACGTCATATTTGAGGGGGGGGGTCTGACTTTTTGTGACGCCGTGTGACGAGGGGGGGGGTCAAGGGAGGGGGGGGTCAAAAATTGTCCAAAATAGCGTGACGTCATTTATGGACGCCCCCCCCAACCCCCCGCGTCACATGCCACACAAATCCCGGCCTTCATAGCTACTGCTCGCGAACAGCACTTGCCCCGACACTCTGTGTAAGGCTACACCGGTGGGGAGGGCATCTTTGTCTTTTGTTTGTATTGAAACGCAAGAACCGCGAGCTCACGTGACCACAACCTCCTCCTCACCCATCATGGCGGACGTGCGCTTCCCGCCGTTCCGAGCAGCGGACGATTTCGTCCTCGGCGTAGCGCGATTCGGGGCGCCGGACATGAACGACCCGGCGAGGTGGAACAACAGGATCATCAACAACCTGCTGTACTACCAGAGCAACTACGCCGCCTCCATCGTGGCCGTCATGCTGCTGGTCGGGTGAGTCCGGCGCGGCCTAGGCCTACTTTTACGGGGTGGCGCAGCCTCGGTCTTGCCTGGAGGGGTTGCGCCGGAGATGAGGCGGGTTGCGCCGGGGATGAGGCGGGCCACGACCCGCCACCCGAGTCGGTGTTGTTTAACGATGATTGTTAATAATTACGGGCGTTTGATTTGTCAATGTTTTTATTGTTATTTTGCTCGTGGTAAAGTATCGTACGGTGAACTTGCGTGGGTTTACTAACGGCTGCGGTTTGAGTGAATCGATGGGTGTGGCTGTGGTTGACGCGGTCAGATTTGCAATAACGCCAATAGCCATTCACCCTCAAATTTATACATTGTTATTTGTTGAGTGCCTACACACTGAAAAGTATCTAAAGCTGCATTCACGTCGGCTTGTTTTCTCGAGTGTGACACGGAATTTTACACGCGAGTGTGCGTTGAACAATGCGTTGAATAATCACGACTTTTAAGAATGTCTCGCAGAGTTGAGACCATTGCCTTAAGAGGGCCCCAAAATCCGATAGTAGCTGCCAGTCTTGGTTTTTAAGAGACCCCAGTAACAATGGGAAGTACTGTAAATCAGCCCTCTTGCGTCATAATCCCATGAGATATCGATCCATCCGTTTATTTGTATAATAAAATATCCCAATGTAGAGCAATTTCATTGTTAAGTCTGTTTCTATTTCTTCAGAGACTGGTCTGTCTCCGAGTCAGGTTGTCTAAAGTCTCACCAGACACAGCATTCTGCATATTTGTTTTATAAAGATCTTCCCCTAAATGTAAGAACAATAGGAAACAGTGACCCTTTTATTTTTAATTGCCGCTATTTTACAGTTTGAGAGGTAATCGGAGACAAGTTGTGCAGTAACTCTGACATATTGCGGTTCTGCAAGCACTTAATCTCAACGATGTATTGCATGTTGAAGCGGCATGAGTTAAATGAGATGCTGTCACTCCAAATTGAATTCACCGACCTTTATTTAATCGGATGAGCGCACATGGAGATCGATTTTCTTTTTTGCAAGAGCGACATTCTTTTGGAACAAGTAAATAATCAGGCAATACACCTTCACCAGAGTACGCCAAAAGGCGCCTTTTGGCGTCCTCTGGTCTAACACAATTTGAGACGAGGCTCAAAAGAAAGCTGTCTCTGGCGTGGACCAATCAGTTTCAAAGACAATGCATATATTATCAGTGTTTTTTGTTTGCACTCTGAACACAAGTATTGTGGTTGATGCAGACATTCCTTGTAAAATGTTTCAGTTTGGCGTTTTAACATCTTAGCACCTGTTTTGTTGCCAGAAAAAAGGGGAAAACCTATTCTCAATTATTGTTTTGCTTTATCTAAAATATAGATTTCATTTATTGGCTATGTAGATGTAGATACTGTCTATATATAGATACTGTATGCGTTTAGCAATTTAGTCGAGAATGATGTGGAAATATGGGATTTCGGATACTATATATGATATCGCCTACTGACACAGATGTTGTCACATGTTCCTTTGCAACAAGCGTGGTGTAGTTTGTCAGTGCAGATATTACAGAGGAGCTCCGGTAATTGAATTATCGATCTTTTGGAATTGTGTCCATTAGGGAGGATGTAAACTATGAGGTGAATTTTTTAAAACAATTATTCACTCTTAACCTTGTTTTTATTCTAATGCTTGCGATACATACCCTAAAAGTATTCAATGTAAATACATTCCTTAAACATTGACCATAATTTGTATGTGCCGACAAAAAGTATTGTAATGTGTAAGGAGGCTATGCATATCTTTTTAAGGCTTTATTTGGTTCTCTGTATTGAGTGGACATTTACCAGTCTGTGTATTTTTAGCACTGGCCATTAACAGCTGCTCTCATCCAAATCCTTGTAGAATTGAACAATTTAGACGAACAGTTGTCAGGCGGGCAGAATACTCTCAGTTAAGCCAGAGTGTTAATCATAGCTCGTTTTTTTTAATCATCCGGACAGGTGGTGCTGTGGTAATAGCGTTTCACTCGCAATCGGAGAAGTCACGAGTTCAACTGCTGGTCGGAGGATCAACTCAACCTTTCATTCATCTTGAGACAATAAAACGAGTAGTTTTTTGTAGAAAGTCAACGTTTATTACTCTTTGGTTCTTTCGGTAAAGTCACGTAGGTATAATAAAATAAAAATATATCGCGACGTTTCTGGCGCAACACAAGCGTCCGTCATCAGGTGGGAAAACACAGAGCTGGACGCTTGTGTTGCGCCCGAAACGTCGAGATTTATTTTTATTTTATTTTCTACCCACGTGACTTTACCGAAAAAACCAAAGAGTATGGATTCCTGCAGTCACGAAAGCTTCAAATCAAGATTCGACATTTATTCTTTCCAGAAACATTGCCCCATCCGCCGCCTACAGAATTATGTAATTTTCACTTCTGTCTCGGCCGCCACCAGCAGAGATGAGCGGCATCCCCCCTCTTGAGGACCTCAAAGTAAAAGCCCTTTCACCAGCAGTGGTGTGAGCAATTGCAGGGTTGCACCTTTACCATCTTTTAAATACAAAGAACACTGACAATCGCCTCTGGACGATTACAGTTCAATCAGCCCTCTGCTTTGGATGAATAATGAATAAATACAATACCAGCTCTTTTTTTTATTAATGCTACCCCTATCCCCTCCCTTTGAGGCTGCTAATCCTACATAATGCACGGGCATAATATGACTTTGAAAACCCCCCGCCCACCTCCTACGCATTTCACAAGTAGTACTAATCACATTCCTGCATTTCCCATAAATATGCTAAATTCCTCTTGATGTGCGAATTATTTTGTCAAGGCGGCCTTCCCCCCTTCCAACCCAGCTTAAATATACGCTCCAAGCGTGGTGGTGTTTCATTCAGACGCTGTCTCCCCAACAGACCTGGTCTTCACCTGAGGACGGCTGCTTGCGTTGTGGCTGAAACGTCGTGATAATTATTTTATTATGTTTTATTTTTATTATTTCATTACTTCCCTTCTACGTGACTTTACCGAAAGAACCAAGAAGATACCAGCTCTGTGTTTTGTTTTTCCTGCCGGGCACGCAGGTACATACGTCCCCTAGAGATGATGATCGGTGGGGCGGTGGTGGCCATCGTCTTCCTGGCCTTTGTCCTGGCCTCGGAGAACCGCACCACCGTGCGCCGCTTCAAGCGCAACCGACCGGGCTTGGCGGTGTGTGCGGTGCTCGTGGCCAGCGGCATGATGCTGCACCTGCTCGGAGGAATCCTGGTCTTTGTCTTCGGCATCACCTTCCCGCTACTCTGTGAGCACCATAACTCGCATAGCGAAAGAACGGCACTAATCGATCCCCGTAAAGCAGTCGGGTTT